ACACACACACACACACACACACACACACTCACACGTATACTCTCTCTCTCTCTCTCTCTCTCTCTCCGGCCTCGCTCAGCCCCAGGCTCGCTCATGCTGGATTGATTTTCTCTGAATCTGCTAGTGCTGCTAGTATCTCCTTCTCCTTCGGCGCAGTTGAACATCGTGTCAATATCATTCAATTTTGCATTTTGCATTGTGTCATTTTTATTAGGCAGTCCTCTTAACACTTATCGTTTTTTCGCAAAATTGTGGTTTTTTCTTTATTTTTATTTAGCTTTTGCTTTTGCGTTTGCTTTTGTTTCTTTGTTGTTTTCGTTATTATTTGTGGCGTCGGTGGCTTAGTGGTTAAGCTCTCGGACTCGCAACCATTAGGTCGTGGGTTCGAATCCCGTCAGGGGGCCCGACGTTGTGTCCTTGGGAAAGGCACTTTGCACAAATTTTCCTCACTTCACCCAGGTGGAAATGGGTACCCGGCTATAGACAATGAACGATCTTGTCAGTTTGATAGTGTTTGAGCGCGTGAAATCCGCAGCTTGCACTGTATGCTTCCGCGGAAGCCGAGTGTGTTTCTGAGTGTTCTCAGAGGGTCTGCTGGGGTAATAATAGTTGTAAAGCGCATAGAGCATGCTCTTGAGCATGGACATGCGCTAAATAAATGCAATTATTATTAATTATTAATTATTATTTATTGTTTTTTGTTTTTATAGGGGGTTTTATTTGTCACTTCATCAATGATAGTGTCGTCTTTTTTCATTGTTAGTGATGATTTAGAGTTTATGAAAACGCCCTATCACAAATTTAATGAACTTATCCTCTTCTCATGTTCTACTGTGACTGCGAGGTTTCACGACTTATTGGTATTAAAAAGGTATCTCTGTATAAGTAAAGAGCTTTTCAGTTTGACCATTGAATCTTTGAAAATTGTGTGATGTTTCTGTCCCACGATACGGTCTTCACTCTTTTTTTTTATCAAAGTTTTTATTGACTGTGTGATCCCGGAAAACGTGTACGGTTTTGACATTAATTCGGTTGTATGTACCATTATTCCCAGGTAAATGTACACAAAATGTTGATACTTATGTCAGTGCTATTTTAGCTGTTGCTGTTGGTCATAGGTTTGGGCATCTCTGTACTTACATCTATGTTGTAGAACGTTGAGGTTCGTCACAGCTTCCCGCAAGACGGGCTATTTCTTCTGTCCTTGCTAGGGGGTCTGTGCTGTCAGGGATTTTTTTTTTGGTAAAGTGTTTTACGGCGCTCGCAACTGCATAAGGTCATATGAGCGCGCGGGACACACCTAATATTTTCAGTTGGTATGAAATTTTGAATTTTGCCCGGGTGGCCTCCGAAGCCTACTCTTATCGATTTTAGACCACCAAGGGATCTTTAACGTGCGCAACTTGCACACGGGCCCTCCGAGATTTTTCGCCCTTGTCCGAAAAGGCTAGGTGTAGATCTTTCCAACCAGAAGATCAGGGGTGTGGCAGAAAGACAGCAGTAAGGAGGAGCCAAGGAGTAGCAGTAGAAAGGCTGCAGAAAGAGTCAGGAGCCCAGAGGAGGGGGGGCAAAGGAGGTGAGGGGGTGGGGGCAGAAAGTGGAAATGGAAGCAGACAACAGAACATTGTTAGAAAGCAGGAAAGGAGGTGAAAGGAGACAATTTTAGAGTAGAAAATTTTTTGGTCGCTACCCGGATTCGAACCCGGGACCTTTCAATGAGAGGCCAACACCTTAACCTCTAGGCCACGAGAGCCACCGTTGTCAGTTGAGAGAGAGAGAGAGAGAGAGAGAGAGAGAGAGAGAGAGAGAGAGAGAGAGAGAGAGAGAGAGAGAGAGAGAGAGAGAGAGAGAGAAACACCTGCCTTTGATGACTATCTTGTTGTCACCAATGTGGACTATTTCAAGTGCATTTGCAATTAATTATTTGCAGAAATTCAAAAGAGTCGGTGAAGGAAAACAGTGTTGCCTTCCTCCAACTGTTATTTGACAAGTCCCATGTACTGCTTATGAAGCCAACCTTGCAGGCTGTTACAACAGCAACAGCAACAGAAACTACTGTAGATGTATACTACGGAAACACAAGAAACTCAATAAATCATACAAGCTCCGAACATCCTATCAGTGGTTGGTCAGTGATCAACACTTTATACAGTCTGTATATTACAAGTACACTTGACACTCTCGTATGTTTGTTTGTTTGTTTGTTTGTTTGTTTGTTTGTTTGTTTGTTTGTTTGTTTGTTTGTTTGTTTGTTTGAGTAAAGAGAAGTTCATCGACGAAATAATGGTCCTTTCGTCCTGGGGAAAGTAAACTGACAGACAGAAACAACAGATGGAAAGTAAGGAAGGAAAGATAATCACTGTGCAAAGTTCGAGTCAGATGTATTACCCACTTTTTCCACATAATATTGAACTGTCATAATAATAGTAAGTTAGAAGCGTATAATTTAGAACAACGCTATAACCATGCCACCTCGTAGAACAAACTTCTACTTCTCTAGCGCAGTGAAATCTAAATTCATGCGGGGGGAACTTTTCCCAGGAGACCACGATGACGTAGTCACATGCCTGGAGACCGATAGTATGTGCGACACCTTACTGTACAATGGTGGCGCATATCTTCACTGTTAGTCACTTGTAGTAAAGTAATAACGCACTCAAGCCAACAACAGCACCAAAGACTACCTGAAAGGTGCCGGGTCACATATCAAAAATCCCCCCCCCCAAAAAAAAGACTTTAGATCATACATACATACATACATACATACATACATACATACATACATACATACATACATACATACATACATACATACATACATACACACACACAGAGAGACAGAACGGCTCACGCGCACACACAATTACAC